TCGGCTTAACTTGTCTCTAACGCGTAGTAGTGTGGCGCTAGGAATAACAAGACTTACTGATGGTGCAGGCGAAACGTCTGGGAATGTACCACGTCCATGGTCCGACTTTGGAAATTATCATGCATACAATTAACTCAGAACTAAGTGCGCTCCTCTAAGTCTTCCTACCAATATGACTAATATGCGAAAACAACAACAACGAAAAGAGACTACGACCACACAAAAGGCCACACCATCTTGGTCTTTATATCTTAGAATAAGTTACCCTTTTAGATGTCATTGTTAGTAATGAAGGGAACAAACTAGGTCAGGATGTATATAAGAAACCCACAAGGCTGATTTCCTTTTTAATTTATTCTCGAACTATGCTGATGGTATTTAGGTAGGCGTAATGAAATCAATGATATTAAGAAGTTCACGTCTAGCTGAAGTAAATCATCAAGAACACGAGTTAGAAATGCTAAGAAAAATTTTCGTTGAGAACACTTATCCTGTAGGATTGATTGTTAACAATTTCAAAATATTAAGAAACAGGGTGAATTTAAACCATTATTTTAGCCAAAACAAGGAATTAGACGATTATTCTGCCAGATTCCTAATGCTACCATCCTGCAAGATTTCAAGCAGGATGGGCGAATTATTGAGGAAATGGAGTGTCAAGACTATGTATAAAGAAACAATTACGCTTTCCTCGATCGTGCCTTCTTTTAGAGAATCTTCGGACGCCCTCTGCAGATCAGGTTGTTATAAGGTTTTCTGTTCATTTGGTAGTGTTTGTGTGGCGAAGACTTGTCGACCCATACATAGTAGGGTATCCGAACACAGAACCTCCTGTAAAGGTTTATGGATTCAGAAATCAGGAGTGGCTGAACATGTGGTCGCTAAAGGACATCAGATAGAGTGGTCTAAATCACAGCCTTCACAGTGGAAGTATCAGGGAGTCGATTAAAAGTAACAAAATAAGCATCCTGAGTAAGAGGGATGAATGCAAGAAATTAAGTATGAACTATCTCTGGCTTCTAATTAGAATGAGACAGAGAGAGAGAGAGAAGGAAAGGAAACAGGAAGAATCACTGAGTAAGAGGAGAAGACTAGACTAAGCTGAAACTTGTTTTTAAACCTTAAATTGTCAACCAACTCGGAGCATCCAAGAGGCTGTAACGAGACTCATGACAACTGGATCATACTCTAGTTTATTCAAATTGATAAAAGTTGTGACCAGCTCCGCTTCACTACCTGCTTCACTTTGACCCAATTAAATGTATGTAGGACAATTATGTGATGAATTTATTCGAAATCTAGCCTGTTCAATACTCAATATTAATTTATATATTTTGATAATTATGTGTATTCATAATTCACGATAATTTTATATTTTAAAATTAGATCTTTTTGCAACATATTAAGGTTATTTCGAACCGGCTATTTGCAAGTATGGCAAAGCATACTTAAAGAAATTATTAAAATTTTTCAATTTATTTTTATATTTTTGGAATTTTATAATATTGCATTATTTTCATAATTCATTAATTATTTTCACTTAAAAAATTTACATTTTATCAATTCTACAACACAGCCAACATTAAATGAATTGGAATAAACTAGTATTAAACTTCTATAAATAAAGACTTAATATTCATTTTGATTATAATTCCTGCACTGGTTTTTATTCAGATCAGGCTGAATCTAGTCCGAATGGTTCTGCATTGCCAGCTAAACGCCGCGGACTTGATGTTCAGATGCCCGCATTGCCTAATAATCAAAGTAGTTCCAACGTCGGTGGGGATTCAGGTCAATTACATGTTGGAAACTCACTAACCGATCCAGTCATGGTTTCTTCGTCCTCTTATTCGTCCTCTTGCTCCTCATCTTCCTCATGTTCTTCCTCTAACGGATCATCGGGCCACTCAACAGGCTCTACGACGCCTTCACTAAACACCTCTTCTTCCTTGGCATACATAACTTCTTCTGGCGCTGCCGGTATCAAGGAGTCAGAAAACCTATCATCAGCTATTTATCAGAACAGCGATCTTTCAAACCATCAGAAAGGAACCTGCCCTCACATACGAGGTCCCACGCGAGACGGCCAGAAATCTCGTTGTCGAGAGACTAGTGAGGCCTGCGACTGCATTGTTCATCAGGTTAGTATCTAGTTACTAGCCAAACTAATAATCAAGATAAAACTTAAAAAGGATTAAGTATCTAGGTTGATTATAATGGAAAATGCAAGTTTGCTTAATCGATTTCTACTATAATTGCAATATGCTGAGGACCTGGGTGATTTCTATTAATTTTACAAATATATAAATGTGTAAAAGTAGCTATATAAAAATGTATCCACTTTTTTATCATAATCAAAAAAACTTGATTGTATGAATCATGCTTCCTTTATTATTTACGATTAATCTAAAAGGAAACCTCTGCATGTACACAATTGGAAGGCCCTAAGGCGTGTAAGCCCTATCATCTTTGAAGCAGTGAATTAATTAATTTCCCCACTACCTACGTACGCCTTTCAGCATAGTTTTAAGTCCTTCGTTTATTGACTCACGAATGCGCACATCCATACGAACACACTAAGACACATATTAACACGGATGCATGCACACGCGCACTTATGCGGATGCATAAAAATTTATACGACAAACCAAACGCATGGCCTCAGAGACACACACACACATAAGTATATGTAAATTGCCTTCTTCAAATCTTCTGTTCATTAGATTTATTTTTGACAGGATATCCATGGCCTCTCGTATTATGCATTTTATTGTATTAGTCGTAGGTTGATATTTTTTTCCTATTTCACCAATATGCATCTAATCAAAGATGACGCATTTTATACGATAGAATACCGAGCGATCCAGTTTGTCAAACTTCTTGTGTTGCGCCTGCAGACCGGTGAATAATATTGTCATTTCCTTTGATGTCATCTTGATATTCCATTCTCTTAGTAAGGGCCACAATTTGTGGGAAATATCGACTGGAAATCAACTAAAATAACTGGTTACATATTTTTGAAATTAAAAAAAACGAAAGATGCGAGAGAACACCGATATCCTGACTGATCAGATATAGTTCACAAGATCTAGATCTTAGTATCTACATTTGAAAGGATTTAATTTTCCCATCTACTAACATATCATATAAATGAGGGGATTAAGATCTAATAGTTGAATTGAACAATGACGAGATTCTGAGCTATATTTAATCAGAAGATGACGGCTGATTTCCGTTCTTTTACATCCGTTGACCTTTCATAAGTTATTCAGGTTGACACAGTCCAAATGATATCCTGTCTAGAATATTATCCTATTGGGCATTCTTAGGAAATGAAAGTCTCTTTAACAATGCAATTTTGAGATATTCATCTAAACATAGTTTCTCTTACTATC